TCACCCTCCACCATGATCACACTCACCCTCCACCATGATCACACTCACCCTCCACCATGATCACACTCACCCTCCACCATGATCACACTCACCTTCCACCATGATCACACTCACTCTCCACCATGATCCCACTCACCCTCCACCATCATCACATTCACCCTCCACCATGAACACACTCACCCTCCACCATGATCACACTCACCCTCCACCATGATCACACTCACCCTCTACCATGATCACAATCCCCCTTCACCATGATCACAATCCCCCTTCACCACGATCACACTCACTCTCCACCATGATCACACTCACCCTCCACCATGATCACACTCACCCTCCACCATGATCACACTCACCCTCCACCATGATTACACTCACCCTCCACCATGATCACACTCACCCTCCACCATGATCACACTCACCCTCCACCATGATCACACTCACCCTCCACCATGATCACACTCACCTTCCACCATGATCACACTCACTCTCCAACATGATCCCACTCACCCTCCACCATCATCACATTCACCCTCCACCATGAACACACTCACCCTCCACCATGATCACACTCACCCTCCACCATGATCACACTCACCCTCTACCATGATCACAATCCCCCTTCACCATGATCACACTCACCCTCCGCCATGATCACACTCACCCTCCACCATGATCACACTCACCCTCCACCATGATCACGCTCACCCTACACTAATCACTCTCACCCTACACTATAATCTCTCTGACCCTCCACCATGATTACACTCACTCTCCACCACGATCACACTCACCCTCCACCACGATCACACTCACCCTCCTCCATGATCACACTCACCCTCCACCACGATCACACTCACCCTTTACCATGATCACACTCACCCGTAACTATGGTGACACCCTCTACCATGATCACCCTCACCCTTCACTATGTTGACACCCTCCACCATGATCACACTCACCCTTCACTATGGTGACACACACCCTCTGCCATGATCACACTGTCCCTTCACCATGATCACACTCACCCTTCACTATGGTGACACTCACCCTCCACCATGATCACATTCACCCTCCACCATGATCACACTCACCCTCCACCATGATCACACTCACCCTCCACCATGATCACACTCACCCTCCACCATGATCACACTCACCCTCCATCATGATCACACTCACCCTCCACCATGATCACACTCACCCTCCACCATGATCACACTCACCCTCCACCATGATCACACTCACCTTCCACCATTATCACACTCACTCTCCACCATGATCCCACTCACCCTCCACCATCATCACATTCACCCTCCACCATGAACACACTCACCCTCCACCATGATCACACTCACCCTCCACCATGATCACACTCACCCTCCACCATGATCACACTCACCCTCCACCATGATCACACCCTCCACCATGATCACACTCACCCTCCACTATGATCACACTCACCCTCCACCATGATCACCCTCACCCTCCACCATGATCACACTCACCTTCCACTATGATCACACTCACCCTCCACCATGATCACACTCACCCTCCACCATGATCACACTCACCTTCCACTATGATCACACTCACCCTCCACCATGATCACACTCACCCTCCACCATGATCACACTCACCCTCCACCATGATCACACTCACCCTCCACTATGATCACACTCACCCTCCACCATGATCACACTCACCCTCCACCATGATCACACTCACCTTCCACTATGATCACATTCACCCTCCACCATGATCACACTCACCCTCCACTATGATCACACTCACCCTCCACCATGATCACACTCACCCTCTACCATGATCACACTCACCCTCCACCATGATCACACTCACTCTTCTACAATTGTATTATCTTTCCTCCATTTTCATCTCTCGTCTCTCCCATCAATACAGCTGTCACATCTTCCTCTCTCTCTCTACAGTCTTCCTCTAGTTTTCCCGAGAGACAAATTCCCTGTTCATTTTTTTCTCTCTCTCCGTGTTTTTCTCTCTTTTTCTTGGTCCCGAACCGTTTTTTATTACATGAGAGAGAGAGAGAGAGAGAGAGAGAGAGAGAGAGAGAGAGAGATAGCTAACTAACTACTGTTGTTGTGTTCAGTTGCATCGTCCCAGCTCCTGTAAGGTGTTGAGTCCGTGTGTTGTGTATTGATTGACAGGTAACTCTGTGTGTGGTGTATTGACAGATGACACTGTGTGTGTGGTATGCTGACAGGTGACAGCGTGTGTGGTACACTGATTGACAGGTGACATTAAGTGTAGTAAGAGGTGGCAGCGAGTGTGGTGAGAAGTGACAGCGTGTATGGTGAGAGGTGACAGCGTGTTTACATCATGGAAAAATAGACATTTAAACAGTATAATATGATCCTTTATTGAGAACGTATCGCCCACATAGTGGGCTTTATTATGTCACAAACAGATCTACCTAGGTGAAAGGTACGTGAGTAATTATAGGATGGAGTCACGTGGAGAATGCTCGGTAGGTTGGATCTGAACCTGCATGAGACAAACTTCCGAGTAAGGTGATAGAGACTAGGACCTTGGGTAGCTTTAAAAAGAGATTGGACAAGTATATGAGTAGACCTTCTGTAGTGTTCCTCCATTCATATGTTCTTATGTGGGATAACGATGAAGAAGTTTCTTAGCGAGGGGTTCAGCTATGATAAAGAAGCCGTTGTTTTGGTTGAAGTTGTTGGATATACAGATAAGTGATGATTCCAGGATTCTGCGGTATTGAGTGTTTTCTTCTCTGGCGATAAGTCTTTCGTTTCTGTAGTTGATTAAATGGTTGTGTGAATTTCGGTGTTGAACACAGGCATTCCTTAAATCATCCTATCTGTCTGGGTATTGGTGTTCTGAAATTCGTGTTTGGAGGTCTCTGGATGTTTCGCCCACGTATAATTTGCTACAGTCATTACAGGGATTATGTATACCCAGGCAAAGGATTGAAGCTTGTCCTGTCTATTATTGGTAATTTCCTCGTTGGTGGTGGAAGTGGAGGTAGATACTTGGAATGAGGTATTGGAAAAGATGAGTTTATTTTCCCAATGTGTCGGTATTTTATACCATTTACTTAGAATAATAGACATACAGTAAAATGGATGAAAAATCCTCGGTACGCCCATTGAAAGTCTTGATTTAAATATTCCTCGTTACGCCCATTGGAAGTCTTGATTTACATTGCTGTTTCCTCGATAGCTGCCCTTCACACATATTCTAGTATCCTCTGTGAAGGATGTTATAGTGATATAATTTGTATCTTTCTCATAGTTTGTTGTATGGATTAAAATCAAAGATCTGGGGTTAGTATTGTGCTTTAAGGAGCACAGCTCTTATACTCAGTAGCTATCCCTGATTTTATTTTGATCAATATTCTCTGTCCGATTTGTAAGTAGCTTCAAGATCCATCTACCTACGTTTCCAGTTTCCTTTTGCACGCATTTTGCTGGCTGTACACCGTGATTACACTTGCTGAAGATAAACAAACTTTAGATAACACAAAATGCACAAAATTTCGCAAAGTCTGTGTATGATGCGTCTGCATTCTGTTTATCTACCTGTAGTGGTCCAGCATTTGCGAGAGGTAGAAGTGTTGTACTCAAAACTTCTGTTTATTCATGATATGAATGATCATAGTGACCTGAATAAACTAAACCCGTAAAATACAAAGCTCCTGAGGAATGAGAAGTAATCTGGCGTGATCAAAGGAACACGGAGGTTATCACATTTCGTTGAACTTGAATATGCAACTTTAGTGATTCATTGTGTTCAGAAATCTTACTTCTCAGTACTCCTTGCAAATGCTTAATAATATGTGATGACTGTGCTATAAGCCTATAGATTTTTGCATTTTATGCTCTCACCGTTAAGTGTTTAGAGCATGATGGATGGCACCAATGTATTCACTCTATCCATAGGATATTAAATGCAAGTGATGGGATTTTCTTTTCCACTTTTTGAACAGAGTGCTCAGTAAGCTCAGGCCTTGAAAAGAGTTCATGGGCATGCTTTCAATGGCGTCCTGAAAGCCGAATAGAATAAAGGTTATGCCAGAAATATTTGTAGAGTTTGGTATCTTGTTCATTAAAAACGCATATTCGTGGTCATTGTATATATTATTTTGAATGACTGTAAAAAACGAATAAAAATTTTATTCAAGCTCACTTGTTGATAAAATTAGTAAATATTCCATCTTAATTGAAGACCCAAAACAGAATATGGTGTTTGATTTTAAATTTTATTTTCTACTGATGGTTTTTTCGAGCTTTCTATATTTCATTGGCCTTTTGTTAGGAAATTTTGCAAAGTGCTTTACATTTCTCTGATATGAGCTTCTTTTCTCACTTGGGAAAGTTCTCTAACTCTGTATCTTTGAACATAAAGACTGCAACTTTTAATTTCCAACCAACATTTTTTTTTATAATGGTACAAGTCCCAAGTATATTTCTCTGGTGTCACGGCACTCAGCTTGTAAAAATATTATTTATCAATACGCATTCATAAGGTCTTCATTAATAAACGGTAGTACTTGTAATAAATAACTGCCAAAGCACCAACATAAATAATTGAGGGTACACTTAACAAATAATTACCGTTATATCTACATAAGTAATTGTCACTATACTTCATAAATAATGACCAAAACAATTCTGAAAAATGTTTCGTCCAAGGCTGGACGAAAAGATGTAGCAGGATCTGATTGTTTGATTGGCAAATGGTGCCTACAACAACTCAGTGTTGAACTTTATCACGTCAACACTGAGAGGATCTTAGTCAGAATACAGACGCGCCCTGTAAACTCTGTTTACCACACTGTGAACAACAACCTATGAATAAAAATGAAAAATACGTTCACTCTCTCACCTTTAATATAAACGTCTGGCCGAGTCCTCCGTCGTAGCCAGGTAAACAGGACACCTGCAGGGAGCTGATTGTCACATCGTACGCTCGGCAATTGTGTGGAGGGTCGGGCTTTC